TTATTCTTGAACTGGGCTGGAGGGTTTTCTGGTTTCCTCCAGAGTATAAGGCCGACTGAAGAATTTGAGAGTCAAAACAAGTCCATCAAATCTAGAGTACGTTCGACCCTGCTGATATGGGATACTTTTGCTTTTGACAGAGTAGTGGATGTATCGGCACGTGTGCTGTTACGCTTGTCTCCACATGCTTCCTTGTATCCTTCTCACTTGCCCTATTTGTTCCTCAGGCAGATGCGGTATCTTCCCTGGAAGCATAAGATGTTGAAGATGAGTACTCGAGAGCAATGCCAGGTAAGTAATCAGGTAAGGGGTTCCAAGCAGTCAGTTCCTGGCTGGAAGCTTGATTCCAAGTGCTGACTGATTGCTCTCTTTCTCCTTGTCTTGCAGGTAAGAACAAGGCCAAAGGAAAAGACAGGGAAAAAGCATGATATGGGATACTCTTGCTTTTAACCCTGATGATATGAGATATTCTTGCTCTAGTATAGCTTGTTTACAGAGGTATTATCGGGGGGAAAGAAAGCTGAATATTTCGAAAGGCTTCGTTGGGAGTGCCCTCTCAGATAAGAGAAAGGGTTGAGCATTTTTGCAGGTCTGCCTGTCCGTTAGGGATGGAGGTCGACATATATAGGAGTCTCCCTAACATCAAGTAATAATGCTATTCCTTTACCCTGCTTGGTCATAGCACGGTAGTGGGAGCTGCCAGCTTCACATGTTTTAACCCTGTCAGAGCACTTTGAAAAAGTGGTCTGTGGTATCTGGAAAGCTGATGTTGCGTGTGAAGATTACAGACAAGCTTTATCCAAGGAGATCCAGCTCTTGAAGTTGGGAAAGTGGTGCCTCTTCGGTTTTCGAACAAGCAATCCTGTCGGGGATCTGGCTCTCGAGATTCGGAGAACGATGCCTCTTCGATTTTTGAGAAAGCAATCCTGCTGGGGGTCTGGCTCTCGAGATTCGGAGAGCGGTGTCTCTTCGATTTTTGAGAAAGTAATCATGTTGGGAGTCTGGCTCTCTCGAGATTCGGAGGGCGGTGCCTCTTCGATTTTGGAGCAAGCAATCTTGTTAGGAGTGTTTTCTCGAATGTGAGTAAAGGTTGGACGTGTTTGCTAGTCTACCTTGCCACGAAGCACAGAGGTTGACACACAGGGACTTTCCAATTATCCAGCAGTGGTACTGTTCCTTTACCCTCTCTTCAATTTTTGAGAAAGTAATCATGTTGGGAGTCTGGCTCTCGAGATTCGGAGGGCGGTGCCTCTTCGATTTTGGAGCAAGCAATCTTGTTGGGAGTGTTTTCTCGAATGTGAGTAAAGGTTGGGCATGTTTGCTAGTCTACCTTGCCACGAAGCACAAAGGTTGACACACAGGGACTTTCCAATTATCCAGCAGTGGTACTGTTCCTTTACCCTCTCTTTGATTTTTGAGAAAGTAATCATGTTGGGAGTCTGGCTCTCGAGATTCGGAGGGCGGTGCCTCTTCGATTTTGGAGCAAGCAATCTTGTTGGGAGTGTTTTCTCGAATGTGAGTACAAGGTTGGGCATGTTTGCTAGTCTACCTTGCCACGAAGCACAGAGGTTGACACACCGGGACTTTCCAATTATCCAGCAGTGGTACTGTTCCTTTACCCTTGTGGGTAATAATATGGTAGCTAGACCTTCAAAATTTATGTGGTTTTAAACTTTGTTAGTGTTGTTTCTTTGCTATTCTTTTACCCTTCTTGGTCAGAGCGATGTAGTGGGAGCTGCAAGCTTCACGTGTCTCAACTTTGTCAGAGAACTTTGGCAAAGTTATCTGTGGTACCCATGAGCTACTTGTTGCGTGTGGGAAGTGGGTGATTGAACAGTAAGATTCATGTGCTTTTCTACTTCGTCCAGAAATCTTCGACAGAATGCCCATAATTTCCGCAAAGCTGAGTGTGCGTGTGACAGGTGCTGACAAGGCTGGAAAAAGTAGGTGCCTCTTCGATTTCTGAGATCGGCCCTCGTGGTCTCTGAGCAGCCCAGCTTTTGAGAAAGCAAAAGCCCTCTTCGATTTTCTGAGATCGGCCTTCGTGGTCTTTGAGCAGCCCAGCTTTTGAGAAAGCAAACGCCTCTTCGATTTCTGAGATCGACCCTCGTGATCTCTGAAGCAGCCCAGCTTTTGAGAAAGCAAACGCCTCTTCGATTTCTGAGCAGGCGCCTCTTCGATTTCTGAAGCTTCGTCGAGTGCAGATTTTTATAGGGGCTGGCATTAAGTTCCAAAGCACACTTGAATCTCCACCAGTAGAAGCTCCATTCTTGCACTTCTAAGATCTTGATTTGTCCGACCTCTTCTCTCTTCAACACCTTTGAAAATGTCTGGCCCCTCCGACCGTCGTTTTGACTTGAACCTTGTTGAAGAGGCAGCCCCGCCTTCTCCAGACAACATATGGCGCCCATCCTTCGTCTCCCCTACTGGTCCTCTTACCGTTGGGGATTCCGTGATGAAGAATGATATGATGACCGCTGCGGTGGTGGCCAGGAACCTTCTCACTCCCAAAGATAACAGACTACTTTCCAAACGGTCTGATGAGTTGGCTGTTAAGGATTCTCTGGCTCTCAGTGTTCAGTGTGCAGGTTCTGTGTCTAATATGGCCCAACGCCTATTTGCTCGAACCCGCCAAGTTGAATCATTGGCGGCTGAAGTGATGAGTCTCAAACAGGAGATTAGAGGGCTCAAGCATGAGAATAAACAGTTGCACCGGCTCGCACATGACTATGCTACAAACATGAAGAGGAAGCTTGACCAGATGAAGGAATCTGATGGTCAGGTTTTACTTGATCATCAGAGATTTGTGGGTTTGTTCCAAAAGGCATTTATTGCCTTCGTCTTCTGGGGCTGTACCGCGTAATGAAGCTCCAAATGATCAACCTCTGATGCCTCTTCCTTCTAGGGTTTTGTCCAGTACTGAGGCTCCGAATGATCCCCCTCCGGTGCCTTCTCTTTCTGGGGCTCTACCGACTGCTGAGACTTCTCCTAAGCAACCTTTGTGAAGGCTCCCTCTTGTTTGTTTATTTTGACTCAAGTATATGTACATATTTGTAACTTATCGGGGATATCAATAAATAAATAAGCTTTCCTTCATTTCAACGTATTGTGTTAAATACACCAAAGCCTTCTTCGCTAAGTTCTTTGAATTTTCTTTTGTTGAAGCTTGTATGTTGAAGCTTTGTGAGTGGAGCATGTAGGTTGAGGTAGTGTTCCCTTAATTTCCCGAGTGAGGAAAACTTCTCGGTTGGAGACTTGGAAAATCCAAGTCACTGAGTGGGATCGGCTATATGAATCTTAGAACGCCATTGTGTTCTGTCCTGTGTCATGTCCTCCGTTAGATCCAAGTACTCTAAGTCTTTTCTTAGGGTCTCTTCCAAAGTTTTCCTAGGTCTTCCTCTACCCCTTCGGCCCTGAACCTCTGTCCCATAGTCGCATCTTCTAATCGGAGCGTCAGTAGGCCTTCTTTGCACATGTCCAAACCACCGTAACCGATTTTCTCTCATCTTTCCTTCAATTTCGGCTACTCCTACTTTACCCCGGATATCCTCATTCCTAATCTTATCCTTTCTCGTGTGCCCACACACATCCAACGAAGCATCCTCATCTCCGCTACACCCATTTTGTGTACGTGTTGATGCTTCACCGCCCAACATTCTGTGCCATACAGCATCGCCGGCCTTATTGCCGTCCTATAAAATTTTCCCTTGAGCTTCAGTGGCATACGGCGGTCACACAACACGCCGGATGCACTCTTCAACTTCATCCATCCAGCTTGTATTCTATGGTTGAGATCTCCATCTAATTCTCCGTTCTTTTGCAAGATAGATCCTAGGTAACGAAAACGGTCGCTCTTTGGTATTTCTTGATCTCCGATCCTCACCCCTAACTCGTTTTGGCCTCCATTTGCACTGAACTTGCACTCCATATATTCTGTCTTTGATCGGCTTAGGCGAAGACCTTTAGATTCCAACACTTCTCTCCAAAGGTTAAGCTTTGCATTTACCCCTTCCTGCAATTTTAAAATTTACATCCCATTAAAAATAGAACTCATATTTATTCTTTTAAAATATAAAATAGAATATATGAAAATCATTGCAAATGTTTGAGCACGTATGACTACTACACTTCATATTCCAAAGATAATCATTTGTTGGGAAATCAGGAGTCCCCCAAACCAACCATGCATGCATGCAAAATAAACGGTATGTGCTTATTGTATGGGGTTTTAGGGGAAGCGTTCAAAACATTTATAAGTGTAGCACTTCATTGAGCATTTGGGGGCGCATGTCGACATTTGGTGGCAATGTTGTCGAGGTCTGTCAACATCCGCTGAGCTCTATGTACCGATATTTTCCGAGCAAGCACTTCATGGAACACTTTTCGAACACAATTTGGTTTCATATTATAGTCCTGTTATAGCTAAGGTCCCTAGAGAACCTTACAAGCTACTTTTAAGTCATCTGTAAGGTTTCGAGACCCAACCAGTCGGTCCCTTATACTAGATATATCCTTTGGTTATACGCTCCCTGTCGTTTATTTACATTTGAATACATATCTCGAATGCATAAATTAACACTCTTAACGTAAGTTTAGAGCTACAAACGCTTTAGAACACAGTCAAACCTTGAACCCTAAACATAGACAAAAGCCAGGAATATGGTTAGCATTGCCTCGTCAGCAAAGAAATGCTAATTAAATTTGCCGATTTGGGAATATTTTGGATTTGCATGACCACTGTAGACTTGGACCAAAAATGCAATTCCATAGTTAGGCCAAAATAGAAAATACTAAATGAAGTTAAGTAAAGTTGTTGTTTGAAAAGTTCAAATTGTCCTCACAAATAAAGATATCTTCGAAACACGTAAGATAAACACGACAAACGAAATATGAATTAGCATATTCTTTTGGAATATGAATAATTTAGAAATTCTGCGAATTTTACGTTCTTTCAATAAACACAAGGAAATATCTCAAAACAAAATTAGTTGGCAATTGGGATTTGTCTGTTTTTTTAAGTTTTTGAACCTTCTTAAATACCGCCATCACTGTCCAAACGTGTCCCAAGCTTCTGTGTTCTCCAAAACCGAGTGTCAATTTTTCTTAGTGTCCTCATTTTTCTTGAATTCCCAAAGCTTGCATTTTTGCAAGAAAAAATCAATGGCTCTCAAGGCCGTTCATGCCTCCGACGTTCCGAACCTCGACCAAGTCACAGAAAGTGCCGCCGCATTGGCCGTATATTCGCCGTGGTTGGCTCAAGGTGGGTGTTTAGATCAAATTACTTGGAATCCAAGAAACAAAAACAAAATGGAATCTGATTTTTGGAATTGGGTTTTTGTGTATAGGTGTGAAAGATGAAGGTGAGGAAACGAAATGGGGATACAAATGGCCAAAGTTCGTCGTGATGGGACACAGAGGCAGCGGGATGAACATGTTGCAGTCTTCTGATGCAAAGCTTAAATCCATCAAAGAGAACTCCATTCTCTCTTTCAATGCCGCCACTCAGTTCCCGATCGATTTCGTCGAGTTCGACGTTCAGGTGAGCATCATCTTTGTGGTTTTATAGGGACCAAGAAGAAAACATTTGATCGAAATCACAATCTTTGTTAAGAAAAACAGAATCTTGTTGTGCAAGGTTTTATATTACATTCTGATTTGAGGGTACTAATTGTTCTGCTTCTTTTCTTTCTTTCTTTCTTTTCGTTTCCATTTCTTGGTTTTACAATTAGGGAAAATTGTAAGCAAAAGCTACTTTTGTAGGTGACCAAAGACGACTGTCCGGTCATTTTTCATGACAACTTTATTGGCGCCGAGGACAAGGTTAGTTCGGAATTGTTATCAAACGGACCCTTGAATTCCTTGGTTTTTATTTTCCTGCTGAATATTGATGTTAATTGTAATTTTGTTTCAGGGTGTTTTCAAGGAGGAAAGGGTTACAGACATTACTCTGCTAGAATTTCTCTCCTACGGACCCCAGAGAGAGGGCGGAAAGGTATCACAAATGGTGATTTATCCGATTCCAAATCGTTAAAATGTATGTGGATGTTTTGTTAACAAGTCTATTTTTTTTCATTCGCTCAAATGCAGGTGGGGAGGCCTTTGGTCAGAAAAATAAAAGACGGGAGAATTTTCGACTGGAAGGTAGAACAGGATGACTCCCTATGCACATTGCAGGAGGTGTTCGAGAAAGTTGACCGTTCCAAGGGTTTTAACATTGAGTTGAAGTTCGATGATCAGATTGTCTACAAAGAAGAAAAGCTCGAACATGTTCTTCAAGTAATTTTGCAGGTAAGGATGCCTAATTTGTTTAGCATGTTCTACAGAACATTGTGATCAATGTTGTTTTAGGCACATAATATATACTAAGAGTTTTTTAAACAGGTGGTAATTAAGTATGCCAAGGACAGGCCGATCCTGTTTTCGAGCTTTCAGCCTGATGCTGCATTGCTGATGAGAAAAATGCAGACGACATATCCTGTAAGATCACATTCTAAACCTTCTGTTGAAGCCATGTTGAACAAATTTCAATGACTTGGTTTCTGATGCTGCGATGTATGCAAACCAGGTTTATTTCCTCACAAACGGAGGGTCTGAAATTTACACCGACATTCGAAGGAATTCGCTGGAAGAGGCCATGAAGTTGTGTTCGGGAGGTGGTTTGCAAGGAATTGTATCAGAAGTAAAAGCTATCTTGAGAAATCCAGGGGTAGTGACCAAGATTAAACAGGCCAAACTCTGCATTATAACCTATGGACAATTAAAGTAAGCTATCATTTTTGTTTCCTAAAAGCACTTTTGAGATCAGAAACACTTATCCGACTAATAATACGATCATATGGTTTGTGGACTTGCAGCAATGTGCCAGACGCTGTTTACATGCAACTTCTAATGGGGGTTGAGGGAGTGATTGTTGACCTTGTTCGAGAGATCACAGAAGCGGTTTCCGACTCCCGAATTCTTGTCAAAGAAGCAGGAACTTGGAACTTTCTTTCGTAGTAGAGCTTATGCCAGAGTAGATACGACGTCGAGGGCTGATCAACGTGGCCAGAACCAGATGCAAAATCTTGTGTACCGAACCTTAGTTTCTTTTTTTTTTTTTTTTTTAGTTGTATCCAAATGGTTTAGAGGTCGCACTTGGTGCGATGGCAAGTGCCTTCGCCCATGAGCGGTAGGTCTCGAGTTCGAGACTTGGGAGCAGCCTCTCCATAAAATGGGGGTAAGGCTAGCCGACATTTACCTCTCCCAGACCCTGCGTAAAGCGGGAGCCTTATGCACTGGGTACGACCTTTTAGTTGTATCCAAATGGTTTCTCAAATGGAAGATGAGTTTCGAGATGAAAATATTATGAACAACGATTTTCAGGAATATATTGTCTTCAATCGTCAATATAGTATTTTGTGTACGGAAGCAAGATCAACACTTTTTGTGGCTTAGGCCTCAGCCCAGTCTTCCCATTTTTTGTTCTATTGGGCTTTGTTCAGCACCAAAACGAATAAAATAAATAAACGACTATGAGAACACTATTCAATGTAGAAAATAATCACTACAACCTCGATCGAGACACACAGCTTCGACAAGTCTGTCTACCGGATACTATCGGGAGAGGTCCATGTTGCTTTTTTGCCCGACCACCTATCCCAAAAAAGTTATTTAGGGTGAACCATACAAGAAATCATTTAGAAGTGTTTTTTTTAAGAAAAAGAGGGTACCGAGAAGGTTTTTGTTTCTTTGTATATAGGGTTTAGCTGAAATCATTTGGAAATGTTTTTAAAATAGCTAAAAGTACTTTTTTTTTTTTTTTTTTTTTAAGTTTTTGGATTTCAAAAGCGTTTGAAGTGTTTCATGCAAGAAGCACATGTTATGTGCTAAAAGCATTTTAAAAGTACTTCCAACCATTTTAGAAGCATTTCCAAACGAGTTCTAAATGTAGGATGATTCTTTTGAAGTGTAAATAACAATATGTTCTATTTGGTCTACTGATTAACTATGTATTCAAACCAAAATGACATAATCAAGGCTCATTTCAAGTTTTTAGTTTTTAGTTTCATTCATTCAAAAAACTAAAAACGAAATTGTTATGAAATGTCTCATTTACCAATAAGCATCATAATTTTAGCATCTTTGTTCTTTCAAATATTACAGTTGAAACCTACTTATCCTAGAAGCCCCAAAAAATCAGAACAAAGTTAAAAGTGACGATGTAATTTGCTTCTAAACAAGAATATAAATACCTTGTAAATTTCGTGGAATGAGGTCTAAAAAAAGACGCAACTTTACAATGAAGGTGATATATACACATATCATCAAGTGAACCAATTTGCCCACATGCCCAAAGACACCCATCTTTTTGTTAGCATTTGATGGGCCTTTTCAGTAGGAGAGGAAGTTTCTCTCAAGCGTGCACTGTAAAGCATTGATTCGAAAGTTGGCAGTCAAAAGAAGTACTTATACAAAAGCAAGAAAAGTACGGTTAGGGGGCGTTTGTTTGCCCTCATTAAGTGGGACTGGACTGGATAGGACTAGCTATTAGTCCAATACCGTGTTTGTTCCATGCTGGGACTAACATTAATGAGACTAAAGGGGACTAGCATGGACAAAACCCTTCACTAAAAGGTCTTAGCGAGACCCCCCCAATAACCATGGGACTAGCTAAGACTATCCTCTCTCGTCCTCGTCATGCTCAACAACCACTCCCGATAGACTTCTCGTCATCTCCGGTCACCTAGATCATAATAAAATATTAATAATTTATATATTAAATAATATAATATTAGAATTTGTTATTATCCAGCTTCTTAGTCCAACATTGCACCAAACGCTTCACTAAGTTAGTCCAGCTTAGTCTAGTCTAAGCCAGTCCAACTTAGTCCTTGAAGCTAGTTCAGTCCGAGATAGTCCGGTACAACAAACGCCCCGTTAGTGTACGTTATTTTATATGTACAAGCACCAAAAGCAAGTAGACAAATCAGTGCAACAACATTGTACCAGCTGGTGGCTTCACCATCCCAATCTACCTTTTAAAGACGAGGAAGACTCATAGATGTATTTTAGCTTTATTTTGGCCACCACCGTATGATTTACTAGTGTCATGATTCGAACCCAGAATGTACTGTGTGGAATACGAGCCTGAAATTCGTTTCAACCATTGGGCCACCCCCTTATGGTATTTGCTATGTCTAATTAGGTAATCACGACTCTAAAATTGCAGGTGAGGGATTATCATTGCTATATCAGTATCATCTAATCATGATCATCTCAAAAACTTCGTTCAACTTTTCTATAATTATATCGTATTAGTATACTATGTAATCATTAGTGTATATTTTAGTATTACTAGTCTACTAGTTTATCTACCGTATAAATCAATTGGTGATATTCACAAGTAAAAGCTAAAAATCAACCCAACAAAAGCAAAATAGAACTTGTACTTTGTGACCTGCAGTGGATTTGCATGCAGCCCACGTATACTCTATGGTTGAAACGAAACCCCATGCATGTTTACAAGGCTTCGGTTGTCAAACTTCAACGACGAGCACAATGTCAAAGAAGTCGAAGTTTCGTCTTAAAATTGCAATAGCTTAACTTTTCACACTACTTATCTGTTTTATTGTCTTTCTCTTCATGTGATTTTAGTCGCACATAAAATCTAAGATCGGCTCATGATTATCCTATTAAGTTATATTAATGTGTTCAAGACATCAATTCGACTGACGGCTACTTGTATACAAAGAATGTATGTTGTTGGTAATGTCGTGTTTGCCTATAAGTGAAGAAAGACAGCTATTAATTCTATCAGGTAGTGTTCTTTTTCCATTAATTTGATGCTTACATCTATGTCTTTGCAGACATTAATCTGATAGCTTGCTTCAGGCTGGTTGACAAAATATATTTTAGCTTGACAATGAAGAAAACGAGCTGAATCGATCGCTGTGTACGCAATGCATGTGTAACAGGTAATAACCTCTGGAAGGTATCTACAGCACCAGCATAAACAATAGCTTGGTCAACTTTGAGTCAATGGCAATTTTTTAATTTCTTTGTCCCTAACTGATGAATCCATATTATACCATATATTTTAAGGAAAATTAATGAAAAATGCTTAAAAACTTTAAGTTTTAAAGATAATGACAAAATAAAGGGTAAAGTGAATACCAAGATTGACTTTTTAGTGTAAAAATATGGTTTTTTGTTAAAGTGAACAGTACCGGGAGCTTTTCGTTAAAATTCCATATATTTTGCCCTATTCTTAGTTATAGTTTATTGGTTATTTTGATAGAAATTTGATACTTTGTTATATATTTTCAATGTAGGACATTTGACATCCTCTAGAGCAAAAAGGGATCAAACGGATGAATTTTGGAGTTATTCTAATTGGAGGATGTTCGTGCCCCTTTAAAAATGATTGTATCAAAGTTTCAGATTTTTCTACCAAGCCGTTTGACCGTGGCAATGAAATAAAGGCCCAACGTGCAACTTTTCCAGATTGATGTTTTTGGATGTTTTGGGTATTTTGGAGGTCAAGATGGCATATTTTGAGGAAGAGTACTTTTGATGATTTGTAGGGGACGTCTCAAGCTTTCATAAGAGACATTTTTGGACCAAATCCGAGTTGATTTGCTCGGTCAAAAGACTATAATTTTATGAGAAGTCTGAATTTTAGTTCAAATAGGAAACCTTTTATTTCCTAATTATCTTATTCTATTACGTTTCCTAGTTTTTAGAAGATATTTTCTAGGTAGGATTTTATTCTGTAGTTGTATAAATAAGGCTATTCAACCATTACACTATATTTGGATAAGGGAAATAAACTTGGAATTTGGATTAAAGACATAATTTATAAATTGACATGCACCAATTCCCTTGTTTGGATTCATAAATATAGAAATTTAGAATTTCCGCATGAAAAAAAACTTGGAATTTGGGACCTCCAATTCTTAAGTTTAAATTCCATATAAATAGGTGTCATTTTCCAATTTCTATGATTGAGAGTTTAAAAACAACAAATTCCGTATTCAATTCCATTGTTCTTTTAGGTTACCCAAACAAGAAAATTCACAAATTCTATAGAATAAAATTCCATCATTTAAATTTCCGTCATTTTAAAATTCCTTAGTAATCTTAAATTTCTTTATCCAAACATAGTGTTAGAGAAAGGGAGAGGCATCAATTTGGAGAACTTAGCTGGGCTTTGACGATTTGTATTTCAATGTGTTTTCTATCATTTTTCTATTTCAATAAAATTCCTTTTGTTTTATGGTTGTTCGTAACTAATTCCTATTGCTAGGGCAAAGCCACAAGCCTTAGCATGAATATGTGATTTTATTAATTTGCTTATGAATGGATGCATGCTTGCTTTAAATTATTAACCACCGCTATTAAACTATCTAATTGTCTTAGTGATTCGCAACCATTAGGGTTTTTAGACAAGTAATTTGATGCAATTTATGTTGGAACATCACCCTAAAATTGAAGAGGGCTTCCAGTGATTAGTAATTGTAAGTTCACTTAAGGTGAACATCACACTCTTAAGGGTTGCATGCTTTTTCAAAGGGTTTTCACAAAACTTAATGAGTCTTGCATGTTTATATTTGATCTGAACATCACAGACGAGTTGCATGTTAGATATATGTTTTCGCTTGAAAATCATAAGGAAAATATGTATTAGGAAAACCTAACCTTCAAAGCATGTATGTAGAAATTCATAAGTAATTGGTAAAATTGCATAGGATTGTTAAGGGGACGGCAGAACCCTAGGCTTTTACAAATTGATTTTCTTTAAATTGTTCTCTAATTAATTTCTTTAATTGTTTTATTTTAAAATTCGTTTTTATTATATTAAATTCTAAAATCAACATTTTCCAAACTTTGTTTTAAATAATTGATTAAGAGTTGGTTTTAAACACAAATTATTCATTCAATCCCTATGGAAAACGACATTGCTTGAGCCGTTATACTACGACAACCTTGTTCTCTTGTAAGTATTTTTAAGTGTTTTTATCCCTACTTTTGTGGATGGTAAAAATTCTATCACTAACCCTTAATTTGTTCTAGATATTCCACTCCCATCAGATATTTTTTGTTTACTTATCGTTGCATCACACACACATATATACACTCAA